TTTCACGAATCATCGCATGGGGAAAAAGAGTATGAGTCCGGGAAATGTGGTGAAACTCTCAAGACTTTTCCTGCGATGGACCTACTCTCAGGAAAAAGGTGATCTAACTTAAATTCGTGTCATTTCTTCACATGGCTTCGATGGACGTCTGTTTATATTTTTCGTCTATTTATATGGGTTGACTTCATATTTTGATTATTTCTTTCTGTATGGTGTGAGAATAATATCTCTAGATTTTACCCATGCGTATCCGCTTGTTTGTTTTACGGTCTAACGATGATAATATAGTTTCAAATTTGGTTTCAAACCGAAAGACTATATAGAATTTTCTGGTGTCTCTTTAAAGCTGTTTAGAAATTTTTAACGCCATGTTTAATACGATGCTATACAAAAAAAAAAAAAAAAACTAGTGTTTACTAACTATAGAATCATTTTCTTTGTCAATAAATGAGATATATAATTATGGTGAACAAACGAGAATCAAACTCAAAGAAAGTAAAGAAACCAAAACGATTTAGACCAAAATTTGTTTATGGTTTGTATATTGTTATGTGAATAAACTATTTTACAATCCTTTAAATTTATATATATATTAACTGTAGACCTGATTTTTTTTCTTAGGAATACATAATTATTGTAGAAAAAATAACTTATCTCTATAGTACTTTTTAATCATAAAGACATACCATACTCTAATTTTTCTAAGAGTACTTTCAACTCATCTATATATTTATCTCTATAGTAGCGCATTAGTGCCGTTTCTTGCCATGTACACATGGTGTTTTTGCTCAAGGTCCAAACAAAAATTAAAAAAAAAAATAGAGTTTAAAAGTTTTCTTAAGTAGATTTAGGGTCTTTTTACAAAATATACTTTTACTTTTATTGTCGAAATAAAAGAACTTTGCACAAGGGCCATCAATATAACGAGCCAGACCTGATAGCATTTAGAGATAAGTTTATTTACCTATATTTCGTCATCTAAATAAAATCTCATCTTTGTTTTTCCTCTATATTTTGAAGAATACATAACATTCATTTATTTTTACTCTAAATATAAAAATATTTATTTTATAAAAACACACTGAATTATGTTTATATTAGATAGAAAAAATAGACATATCTATTAGGTTGAAGTCCGCAGCCTAAACCCATTCAGTCCTATAAAGTATAAGACCATTTTTATTGCAGGTCCTTAAGTTGAGTCCCTTAGCGTACGGTCTCTTAGTTTTTAACTGAAAACGCTAAGGGACGTCCCTTAAATCCCTTATATAAGGGACGTTCCTTAAATCCCTTATATAAGGGACGTCCCTTAGAGCATTATCAATGCAAGCTTTTAAGTTGAACGCTTAGAAAAAAAAATATATTAATATGTGGGACCCACGAAAAACTGAAGCACCAGTGCTTTGTGTGCTTCTTTAAGCGTCGATTTTTGTTCTGTATGCGCGCCCCACTGACACGTGGCCCCCGCGATTCGTCCTTTTCTAATTTTTTTTTTTTTAAAATGGGACAGAAAAAAAAAACTTAAAAATAAGCACCCTTAGCGTTAAAGATGCTCTTAGCGTTTTCAGTTAAAAGCTAAGGGACCCAGCTTAAGGGACCTGCAATAATCATGCTCTAAACTAATGGGTTTGAACTAATTATATTAGCCTAAAAATCAAAATTTGGGTTTAGTCCATTTAAGCTTTAACTGTTTTGGGTTTAAGCCTCTTTGTGATAGGACTGATTTGAAAACCTGAAATTTATATTTAATTTATTTAGATATTAAAATTAGTCCTCATTTCTTAAACACATATAGAATTAGTGCTTATGTTTTGAAAAAAATATATAAAATTCTGAAAATATTAGTAGCGGCAAAATCTAGTTTAATATTGGTGCTCAAGTCTTAAAAAATTTAGGAATCGTCTCCTACCAAAATATGTAATGCGCTGATTTGTACACATGGAAGGATTTACGGTCTGCAGTTCGGATAACATATTAATACTTATAAAAATTTATTTTATATTGATACATGTTAAAATTAATATTTTATATTTTATATTTACCTATTGATGATAAAAAAATATACAAGTCAGTGATGAACATCATGATTTTTGATCCTACCATTTTTATTGTTTAGAATTGAAGGAAATTTATTTTATTTATATTTTATATTACTGTTTATTTGATTTATTAGGTAAGACATTATAGTTTTGGAATTTATATGTATATAGATGATTATTTAAATTTGAATTAAATTAATTTTGAGTTTAAATTCAATGTATTCAATTTTAGTCTTTTTTTAAGTCTGAAAAGTCAAAAAAACTCTATTGTCTTTTTAGGGTTGGATTTGGACTTTGAAGTGTAGGCCAAAACTTTTGCGGATCAAGCCGAGCAAAGTTTAAATAGCAAGAAACTTTGCAGGTTTTGGACTTGATCGGATCAGACTGTCCCGACTAAAACCCCTAGGAAAGAAAATAAGCAAAAATACATAAGGAACATGATTTAGGAATTATGTAGCACGCGCCGGCCGACGAAGCAGCATAAAACAAGCAGCCATAACACACGTGCACGGGCCCGTAATGCTCTTTCAAAGCCTACTTGCTTCTCACTGGTCAGCCCACTGCTTCATCCGTTCTTTGTTACTCTTTAAATAGTACTTCAAATAAAATGACATGATTGGTTGTGCATTATCTCAAATTGATTATCCATATTTTTGTTTGATTGTTTCATATAAAAACACTAGGTCAAAATGAACAGCGTTGAGAATATATATGATAAAAAAACAAAAATAAATTAGAGTTAGTGATTAATTATCAAAACAAAACCATGCATATATTTTATATTGCTAATTACTAATTAGATTTGTATTCATCTACCCTTTTCTCCCTCTATGTGTCCTTTCTCTTTCTCATAATTAAGAAAAAGAGGATATTGTGGAAATTCAGATATTTAAAATTTAAAGAGGGTTAATAGATGTTGGACAGTAGAAAGTAAATGTTGGGATACTTTGGTCATGTTCATTGTTGGTTCTGAGGTAAAGTTTTTAGTTTCGGTTAACATACATTTCTTTGTTTTAATTAAAAAAAAAACTAATAACTGATTCATATATAAGAGATATAAGAGCACGTTTATTGCTAAGTTTTTAGGGTGTGAGTTTTTTAACAGAATTAAGAAATTGTTTCTTAATTCCGTTAAACACCTCCACCCTAAAAATCTTGCAATAAATATGCTCTTAATTTCAGTTAAAATAGGTTTTTTGGTTTTTAACTAAAAGAATAAGAATCAGCTCTTAAAAAAGAGATATAAGAGCCGGTTCTTAGTCAAAAAGTGTAAAAAAACGAAAAAGTGTTAAATCATGAGTTAAGAACCGTATCCTAAGAACCTCCAATAAACATGCTCTTAGCAGATTCTTAGTCAAAAAATGTAAAAAATGAAAAAATATCAAATCATGAGTTAAGAAATCCACCCTACGAACCCCACAATAAACATGTCCGTAGTCCATCTAAAAGGGAGGAATTGAGAGTCAAAACGTTTCCTCCTCACATAAAAAAATAAAACCAAAAAATTGAACAGAAAAATAAGAGTGGCAAATCCCACTAGTTTATGGTTTATAGACTTGAAAAAAAAACTTACGCTTACTTATCCCTTCCCATATCTATACTATTAAAACTTAAATACATTTTGATACTATTTAAAAATAAAAATAGTAGGATAAATGAAAATTGTTTGGAAATAAAGCTTTTATTTGCATATTTAACCATTGAATTTACAATAAATTATTATTTTTATACTTATTTTTATTTACAGATACTGTCATAACATTCAAAACTAATTTAAATCAATTAATTACAATAGTTTTTCTTTCTTTGTGGTGAAAATAAAAATACAAACTGAAATATATATTATATATTATATAAAATAATTTTTAAATATAGTATTATCTTATTAAATTTAGTCAAATATAAAATTTTGAGAGTTCATTTTTCAAAAATACAAAATATCATATAATTCATAAAAAATTAATGCAAAAAAATAATTTTTAGTATGTTGTTTCATGTTAAAATAGTATCAAACAAAAAAACAACATATTAATATATGAATAGTACAATTACATCAAATTTTATCATTTTATAAAATTTATAATATTATATTATGTATAAATAAAAAAAATATTATTAAACATTTCTATTATAAAGTAATATATTCTACTCTATATGTAAATTATAAAACATAAAATAAATATAGTTTTTTATAAAATCAGTGGTTTACTACTTTACGTTCAATATAAGTTAAATCAAACAGGTACGGATCAACTTATAGTTTTCTATTGAAGTAAAATGTTTTTCCCCTCTAATCATAACACCAATCGTATGTGGAAGGAAAGTTGTCATTATTGACTTTAAACACAAACAACAAAAGCAACATTTTGGTCACTTTGTCTTTTTGTGCTATATCATTTTCAGTTTTAAACAACTGTATTTACTATTGAAATAACATACTTATATTTTTATAATAAAGGGAAGACTTCGAACCAGGCTTAGAAATTAGGACATGACACTCGTGCACCACAATTAATTAATTGCTGGAATCTCTGATCATATATACATGCTTCATAAAAACCAAAATATCATATCTTAAATTAAATGGAAATCGTGGCATGGAGTGTCGCGGCCTTATTTATTTGAGTATATATAATTAGCTTTTCTTAAACACTAATATATATAATTAGCTATTATTGTTATAGACTGGTTGGTAAATGCCTTCAAATTTTTTGATCCAAAATATATAAAACATTGAATAAGATTCACTCATTGGACCGCATATATATTCATGTGTCATACACATATTACCCTTCAGTCAAGTCGATTTAACAAGCAACCCTCATAATTAACTATGCATTATTAGCTAAATAAAGTTGTGTCGCAAACTTCATGTGTAAACGACTTGGCTTTCAGTTCGGAAGGTTTACTTGTGTAGGGTTTGTAAGAAACGATTTACCAAATGCTCATATTTAAATTAGTCGGACGTTCAATCAATATCAGGATATACACCAGACGTGATTTAAAATAAAATAAGAATTGTGTAGCTGCGTTATATAAGAGACTGCTCACAGCCAAATAGAACACAAATATAAATCCAAATCATTACATCAAATTACAGCTTCGGCATCATAATATGCGACTTGCAAAGTTATTTAATTGAGCAAATATATAGACGTTTATTCCATAGTTATACCATTGCTTCGGTTACTTTTAACCATATATATATGTGTGTGGCCATGGATCTTCGATCTAGAGACCACATATAGAAGAAATATGACGAAGAAGTTGGACTCTTGCTTGGAGAAGCAAAATGTGATCAGCCGTGAGACGATAAAGTGTCTCACCGTCAAATTCACTAGAAGAACTCGTTTCTGGAGCAACCATACGACGGAGACGGCTCATGAGCTTCCTCGAGCTCACATTAACCATTACTCTCTTTCTTCTCCGAACGTAAAGCGCTCTACGCCTCATCTTTTTGTACACGAACGTCGTCTCCGTACGTGTACGGTATCGCAATAAAACTAGAGAGAGATAGTTATAGAAATGATATGTGGATTAAAGGAACGTGAGACGGTGTCCTTTTATAGATAAATTGGACGAAAAATGAATATATTTTTTTCTCAACAAAAGAAGACATGACCCACTCTCTCACGCTCGATATACCATCAGTCTCGTATGCACACGTGTGATTAGTGAGAGACATTGGTAATGGACATAGCACGGTTGATATAACCAAAAGTTGATGGAAACAAACTCACCATGGTATTTAGCAAAAAAAAAAAAAAAAAAACAAACAAACTCACCATGGTATACTCACACAGAGGGCATTGGCTGATCATAACTGAATTTTAAAATATTTTCTCAAAAAAAAAATCAAATATGCATGTGAAATAGTTTTATTATATATGGACAATGGTGATGGTAGCTACATGAGGTTGTGTCTTTGGAAACATGTGAATGCTGATTGTATAAATTGTTGTTGCTAGGCTGATCAGATAATACACGGAATAATTAATGGGTAATTAATTGGTCATGCATATACGACAAACAAGCAACCGTATTGACCAAAACCCATCCATAAAGTGGATAGCAAATTCGGAAGACTATGAATCGGTCCACGTTCTAAGCTTTGCCTCCACAGGGCAACCAACAAATAATTCTAATAAAAAAAAAAAGACTAATAAGTAATTACAAAAAAAAACTCACATTATTGATTATTACTATTTCAACGACAAACTATGTTGAATGGGTAGATTTCTCTTCAAATAGTATTGTATGTATAGTGGAGACTGTAGTAGTCGGTAGTGACTAGCGGATAATTAACTTTGTAAACTATTGCAGTTAAATTGATTTATTCCCATAACCAATCAAAATTTGACTTCTTTCTTCAGTGTAACCTATTTATATATATGATTATAAATGAAATTGAAACGGACCATACAACCAATTGGATTGTGAACAGTTTTGCAACAAGTGGCTGCAGTAATCTTCATGGATCATTCGCACTATGTTATCAGCAATCTGAAAGTGGCTTAATCACATTTATTAAGAAATAAAAGAGCTACGTTTTAAGTCCAGTATCGATCTTATCATATTATAAATAAGTATGCCCGGCCTTTATGTAGACATCTAAGCCATTGTCTAATCATGCGTATTGGAGCAACGGTTTTAGTCTTTAGATATATGGATAAATGTGTAAATTGGTTATAACCTAAGTTTTGTTCTATTGTGCATAAATACGTGAACCATTTGGTCATTAATGCTTGAGACTGAGTTCGGATGTTTAACATGTGGTAGAATTGCAGATAATTCCTCCACTCTAAGGCTAAAATTAGCCAGACGCTTCCACAAACCTTAAACATGATCAGAAGTAAATACCACTAGAAATGGTGAATTAATGTTATTTTCTCTATGCATCCATTGAGTAATGTTGATCTAATTCACTGTGTCCTAGAGTGTTAATAACTCTAATAATAATGACAATATTTAAGAAAACAGCCGTATACGGCCGTGTTTGTAACGAGAAGAAGGTGGGTGAAGTGCAGCCCATGCATGCATGTCTCTTTTATATATAAAAAGACACATTACGTCTTTTTCTTCGCTGAGTTGTTTCCACTCACTCACATTCATAATAACAACAATATGAGATTACGATCTTGCGAGCGTACATACACGTGTGCTATGTCCACGTCTAGCCCCCCATAATACAATAATCTCCGTTTCTCTTGGGACCATGTGAATGATCGTTCATGTGCACATGCAAGTGTAAGTGAAATATTGTACGACCCCTAAAAATTTTAAAATTAATTTCCGTAAACATAAAGCCTCCAAATTATTTTTAAAAATTGTTATTAAAGTGAAAATCTTTTATTAAAAAAGTTGTTATTAAATAGTTTACTAAATTATTTGGTACTCCCAAAATTTATCTATACCGGTCTTGACTTTCTTGGGTCTCTAAGCAAAAAAATTTTTAGTCGATTGATTATACAGTAAAGCCTTTATAAATTAATAATATTCGGACTTTAAAATTTCTTAATTTATATAGGCATTAATTTATAATAGTTTTCTTATTTATATTTCTTGTTTTAAGATATATTTATTCTAAGATAAAACAAATATTTAATTTTAGTGTATAAACATTAATTATTACTTTTTCAAAATTGACATTTAAATTAATTTTATTATTTGATTTGATGTATATTGTGTATATTGCATAGAATCTAAATGTGATTTTAGATATAATATTACTATATCTCATCAAAATATATTAAATATTAAAGTATAGAGATAATTCCAATGTGAATACAAAACAAACAATATAATGAAAGATTCTTACTTATATAAAATATGTATACATATACATTATTAATTTTTAATTTTTAATAAGACCATATATTTTTAAAAAATTTCAAATATTTATTATCTTATTATTTTACCGATTCGTGTCAAATTTTAAATCAATCCAAATTAGAACTGACGAATTAGTTTATTACATATTAATTTATAGAAGTTTTACTGTGTTAGTGTTAGTTTTTGCAAAAAGATCAAAATCCCTACATAGAGAGTTTTAAATGGTGACCTCAAACATGTTAAGAAATGCAACAACTAGAAAATTCGTAAGTGATTTTGTCAAAAGTTTTGACTCTTAATCTATTAAATATGTTTTCTACTCAAAATATATACTCCCTCCAAAGTAAATGTTTTGAAGTTTTTTTCTTTGTTCCACAAAGATAGATTTTGTAATGCCATTATTGATGTTTTTCTTTAAAAATTAACTTAGTCAATTTGTATTAATGCTAACATTTTGAATGATGTTTTGGTAATGACAAATTTCTTGATAATGTTCAATTTCGAGACCTACTTATTTTTATTCTTGGCAAAGTGATTTAAATACAACAACTAAATAACTAAAAAAATTATATTCCAATATCATTGTAGAACTAAACAAAATATTAAACACAATGTTTAGAAAGAAAATCTATTTATCAATACCATCAAAAATGGATCATTATTTTAAAAGAATTTTTTACGTTTTCCAAAATTAAAATTGATATGAACAGATTTTTATTTTCATTAATGGCAATATGATCTTTTGGTTTTTGGGTCTAAAAACTATATAATTTGTACAAACAATATCTATCTAATGAGTTATTTAATGGGCTAATCTATTTCAAAATACTTTTGAATATTCTTGCAAAAATAATGTCCATCAACTTTAATACACGATTTTTTGCGGGTTTATAGAATTTTTATAACGATTTTCTTAAAAAAAAAACCAAGTTACCTATAAAATCATCAGTTTTATTGGTTTAACTACGGTCCAGATTATGTTCCAGAACACTGAATATAGCGCTTTATGTGTAACATGTAAACGTTGATACATAATTAAAAATACAAATTTATATCATATAGATTTAGTTTGTTTTAAAAATATTCCCGCACTTTGAATCAGTACCGAATCTCAGGTTTTAATAGGAATTTTGAAAGTTTTATAGAATTTTTAAATAATGAATTTAAAAAAAAAACAAGTTACATAAACTAATCGGTTTTGTCAGTTTAACAATGGATCTAGGTCGTGTTTCAAAACATTGAATATAATACTTCATATGTAATATTTAAATATCGCATTTAAATATAAATACGTATTCAAACATGTAAAATTATATCATATAATTTTGATTTGTTTCGAAAATAATTCAAATAATTCCGCTAAATCGCGGATCAAAATCTAGTTTTTTATTAAACTGTGAAATACTCAAAAACATCCTATTATTAGGAACGGAGTGAGTGAGTATGCGTCATATAATAGAACAGCTTGTAGTTAAGTCCGGCTCAGGGTCGACCCTCGACCATGGCCCATGTTCCAATACGGTTGCGTCACATAATAGACATCTCATTTGTGTATTAATATTTCGATATACTTATTATCCTATGATCCTATCTATTCAGATTACGAGATTCAGACTACTGCTTACATTATCCTATCTATTCAGATTACTAGCTTTCAATTATTTCGAAACTAGCTTAGACTAGGGACTTTGTCACATTGACAGATATGATGTTACTCTGATTTTCACTGCAGTAATGAGTAATGTAACGCATACACGCAACGCGTACATAAAGTATTCTTGCATGCATGAGTGGAGTTGACAGATGAGAAGGGTCTACAATGTGGGACACTGAAACTTAATGAACCTCACGTGCACACGATTACTACTTGTAATCCTTTCCTCTTCTCCTCTCCAGCTTCGGTCCTTTTCACCATTTTCACAAAGTCAGTTCTGGATCCTACAACTCGTTAAGAGAGGTAAGTTTCCACTTGGCATGTGTTTGGTAGATCACTATCAGTAAATAACAGAAGCAAAAAAAGTGTAATACTCTGATTAATTATAAATATATATATATGTTTAAAATGATTTTGCCTCAAAATCAAACTTACAGTTTTCTTGACATACAACTACTTATGAAAGACCAGACAGGGTAACATGGCAATATGTTTAGACAGGACACATCTTTGTCATCCCCATTCATACATCACTTCCTAAAAACCTTATCAACGAAAAACGCTCTACAATCACACAACAAAACCTATTCCTCTTTTTCTCTCCTGTAATTATTGAATCTAATTAACTATATTTATATTTTACAATGATTACATCGACTATATTATCTCTAGACATTTAACTTCACTCAACTGGAACTCTCCTTGGATCTGGCTTCACAGCCTTTTCTTCTGTCATAATAACAACGAAAAAAACATTTTAGTCCTACTCTCATTACAGAAATTTTGACAAGCAGCCTTGTACACAATTCTTATCCTAGTCTAGCCTATAGTAGGCACGAGACTCTGTCTTCAGAATGATTAGATATTCAGTTTCTTCCATGCAACTGTTATACTAGAAATCTCACTAGTGGATGATTAGACTATGAGTGTAACTAAATAGTCCTACGTTTATGTGCATAACATGACTGGGGTAACCGAACAACATACCTGGAAGAGAGAGAAAAAGGTAACTGGTGAAAGATCAGTTTAACTGCTTAGTCCAGTTTGTTGTCCGTCTAAGATAACAAGTGATCGTTTAGGAGAATTGATCCTTCCGTTACGCAATACATGTTCTGCAATGTCTGACCTTAGATTCCTATAGTTGTTGTTATCATCCCTCATGGTTGTACTACTCGTTGACACTTCCCTAGTAACCAAGTTTGTGACTTGCAATTTACCTGCTTCAAAATCTAATCTATCTTAGAGCCAAGAAGGCAAGAATCTAACGAACCAACCCATCTTACATTACCTGCCAGAGGAGAGACGGAATCAGACGGAGAAGGGGTCTTTATCTGCGGCGAGAAATCAGAAAACAGAGGAGCGTACAAGTATGAATCAGACTTGAGGTAAGCGACGATACTCTTGACAAGTCTTCTGCTTTTCCTCATGGGTTTCTTTCTCGCGCTCAGTGGAGTTCTCTTTGCTCCTTCCATGTTCATTCAGTCTCTCGTTGCTTCGGCGAAACGATGAACGAAAGCGATAGCACCGACAACGAAGGAGAGATGAAGATGAGAACTTGCGTTGCAAGTAAGGGTTTAAACACCTCTCGTCACACGTGTCCCCATGTCTCAAAGGCTTTGACAGATGGACGCTGGAGGAAATGTCACGTATTTTGTCAAAGTTGAGCTGTGCAAACAGATAATTTCTGGATATACCCAAGAGAGGTTTTGTAACTGGTCTAAACTATATGGGCCTAATGTAAACCTATATTCAAACATTTTGGGTTATCGTTCCTGAGCTATTAAAGTTTGTTTTCACTTATTGGGTTTATACACACTTTACAGTTGTCTTGATTTATCATAAATCATACTACCTCAGTTTCAGAACATATGTTATTCTAGGTTTATTTTTCTGTCACAAATTAAGTGTCATTTTAAAGTTTCGAGGTAAAATTTATTAGTTTTATATAATATTCTATTTTTCTATTGGTTGAAAAGTGGTTAGGTGTATAGGTAATTATATTTTTATCTTGGAAATATGTAAAATTAATTATTTCCTTAATCTGTGTGGAAAAACTTAGAATGACAAATAAACTGAAACGGAAGGAATAATTCAGTACAGATTCAGCAGAGCTGAATCCGGTGAATAGTTCATCGATCCGTTGAAGCTCACTAGTGATTTGGGAAGAAGGAACACGCAAGTGGTTCACGAGAACAAAGATGAAGGTTTGAAAAGCGGTATGCTTTTCCGGCGTTTCAACATGGTGGCGCTCCTGCACAATGAAGATTCTCGATTAACCTCACTTTGTTCCACTGAATATTCAACACGTTGCAGCCCTGGAAGAAAACATGTAGCCTTTATGCATGTTAAGCTTATTTCTTTGTAGATCTTATCAGTTTAGTTCAGGGCCGGCCCTGAAATTTCGGGGGCCTGAAACAAAATAGAAAACGAAGACCAATATACAATATCACAAAAAATAACAGAAACAAACTTGTAAAACTACTTTCAAATACAAAGTACTAATAAGACACAAGTTTCCTCATAGAAAAAATAACAATTATTTACATCTTTTAAAACAAATTTAAAGTGGGTTGTATATGATTATTAAAATTTTATATTATAATAGAATTGAATTTTTATTTTTTGGAGGCCTATACAATTAGGAGCCTGTTGCAAATGTTTCAAGTGACAGTGTCCAGGGCCGGCCCTAGTTTAGTTGGGTCTCGATATGAGTTTAGAAACCACTTGTAATTCTTAGGCTAAGACCTAATATGATGAAGTTAACAAAAAAGAAAAAGAATTTTGCATGAGATTTTTAGTCATGCATCTTAAAAATCAAACTAAACCGGAAATTCTAAAACCAAAATCGAGACTAATTTATATGTCTGGAAATTAAACTATTATTACAAAGTGTCGTTTTGTGTCAAATGGATATTGTTTTTTTTTTGTCAGCAACATAAACAGACTCTGCAAACCAAACAGGTGGTGCCACATCCATATGAACAACATACGACGATTGCTTCATGGCAGTACGTGCTAGACTATCCGCCTTTGTATTCAGTGTTCTTGAAATATGAATGAGATTTGAATATATGAAGTTCTCTTTGAGGAAATTGATGTCATCCAGATAATTTACAAACGCTGGTCATTCCTACGGTGCAGAAACCATCCTTACCAGCTGAAGATAATCCATCACAAATGTTACATGAGTTTGACGCAAATTTCGCATACTCTCCATAACCCATATAAGAGCTTCAACCTCCGAATGCAAGGCCGATAAAGACGATCTCGTATTTCTTGCTCCCACTAAACCTTGATACCCTGGCAGTGTGCTATACCACCCTTGTCCCGAAAACATCTCATTCCCCTTCCACGTTCCGTCAATAAAACAGCAACGCCCCGGTATATGTAGTAATTTTATCTCACTAATCTCCTGTACCGCAAGACTAATTTGTTGTACTGGTATTTGCGCCTCCTCCCATAATATCGATTCCGTCTCCGCTAACTCCAGAGTCTCCATAGGTTCCACATCAATATTACTAAACACCTTATTATTTCTTGCATTCCAAAGATACCATAAGATCAATACAAACTAATGATCGTCCATTGCTGGTTTTACCCTCCAATATAGATGACAATATTTGTGAACAAAGCCTGAGTCAAATGGATATTGTTTTTATCATATTGTTAAAACTTAAGAGTATTAACCAGTCATTAAACCCAGTCTTTGCGATGCTAAGACTATCATTAAACCATGTCTTTTAACTGAGATTGTTAGCATCCGCTTAAAGACGATTCTTAACTTTTTTTAGATTTTAATTAAGAAAAGCTAAGAAATATATCTTAAATAAGAGATATAAGAGATGTCTCTTACCCGAAAAATATTAAACAAAAAAACAAAAAAGAATGTTAAATCATAAATTAAGAATTCCGACTATAAGACCAAGGTTAATGATGCTAGAACCAGTTCTTGTTTTGTTGAGAATACAAGTAAAAGAAAAGTCTTTCTTTTGTTGAAAATACAAGCAAAAGAAAAGTCTACATGGCTAATTACTTGTAAAACCTTTAAAAAAGAATCATTGAACGAAAGTCATTTTAGTAAAATTTTGTGATAGTATACTTAATAATATGAAGGTCGAAAATCTATGTTTCATTAGTTTTGAACCGGGTCCGACACTTGCTAAGCACACTATGTGCAAAGATACTTCATCACACTCTATCGAGTGGTTACACGGATATGAGTCCATTGCACACAACCTATTTAAATATCTGGAATGAGTTCATCTATTAGATACCTTTCACTTGGCAATCAATATATGTCTTTTCATAAATTTGATATACCCTTAAGATTTTTTAAAAAGGAACTACCATTAGAAGTACATAGAGTTCTGATAAAAGCTAATATAAATTGGGAAGAGATAAAAATTACAAGAATCTATTATTTCAGAAATTAAAATACTTTAAAATATATATTTACATATGGAATTCTGAAGTTAATTGTACTCCTAAATTATTTATATAAAATAAAATTTATATTATATAAAATTTTAGGCATATAAGCCATCGAAAATGTCCCCATAAGATTTAAAAACACCAATCATATCTTAACAAATATCATTTTTATTTGTTATTTTAAAATGTCAATATTACCAAACTCGTAATTCATTTTTATTTTGAATCATTTTAAATTCATTTTTCTTTCAAAATAAAAGATAAAAAAATATCAAATATGGTAAACTTACAAAAATAAAAACATTATATATGAGTTCATTTAGTATATACCTAATTTCCGGAATCAACATCCGAATTTAAATAAAACCTTCAGAAAGTTATATCTCTTCAAATAAAATAAATAAATAGGTAAAAAAAGATTTTTTTAATTCAAATGATTAACTTGATATATTTTAAACAATTGAAAATGAAACATAAAATTTTAACTAACAAAAAATGACATTTTTATAAGAGAATCGAGTTTTTAATAAAAATGAAAATCTTTTAATAATCATGTTTTCGAGAATAAAAGAAAAAAAAACTACAAAAAATAAATTAAGAAATGTAAAAATAATATTAAATTAAATATTATATTGATATATACTAACATATTGAAAATTAACATAATAAGAGGATTATAGCAAGAAAAAACAAAATTATGTCCACAACCTTTACAAAAGGGGCTATATGCTTTTAAAAAATATTCACATAATATTTTCAAAATACAAGCATATGTCAAACTAGCTTCGTATATATATTAAAAAGCTTAAGATTTCAAAATACAAATATATCAAAATAAACCTAAAATATTAGTTAATATAAAAAAATAATAATAAATTGATATATAAATATACTAAATCTTTTGAGAATTAACGAAAAATATTATAAATTCATGTCACAAAGTATGTCAAGACAAACAAATAGCATATAAATTAAAATTAAATAGATATTCAATATTAACATAGTAACCTAATCAAAGAAATAAAAAGATAAACTGAAATTTACTATCTATTTTTTTTTATATTACTATCTGCTATAGAAAATCATCTAACTATATAATAGTCACACAAGTTTTTTTAATGGTTACATTTAGTTTTTTATTGAACTAATTCATTTGTAGGCTTACAAAAGTTTACAATTTTTAGTTAAATTAGATGGTGATAAACATTATTTACTTGTGTAGACACATATTCATAATTAGTATATTTATTTATGCTTTTGAAATGCATTTTATCAATCAAATGAATTAACATATTTATTTGCTCTTCGCAATTAAAATTTTAATAACATTAATATATATTTGTTTTGCAACAAATATTTTAGAAAAATATAATCTAAATCTTCATTAAACAAATCAGAAGCGTTTTTATAAGAAAAAAAAATTATAATATACAAGAGTTTTTTAAGTTGAAGTTTTTAACAGTAAAACAAATTATATGGCGACTCTTCAAACTTCTTTAATCTAGTTTACTTATAAAAATGATAGATCCATATTTATGAAACGTTACTACAGCAATCAACATAACATTAAAATGAAAATGATCTCACACGAGTTCTATAAACAAAAGTAATTTTAAAATAATATTTACAAATAATATTGGCACTAGAGTATAGTTCAGTGACAACAGAAAAAGATGAAGAAAAATCCTTATATATTAATCAGTTGAAAATTAAATTACCTAAGAAAATTATTAATCAATAAACAAAAAAATAATGAAATTTGGAAAAACTTCTAACAATCAGGAGAAATATGTGAACTAATAAAACTTGATATTCCAACATTTATTTATATTGTAACTAGATCAAGTAGAAAATATATCAAATATTATAGATTTATATTATTATATCAATAATAATATTACTTAATTTAGTTAAATTATATATATTCATTTCATCTTTTCTTATATCTAATAAAAAATATTTACTATGATATTAATTTCATCAAAATATTTATAATTATTAAAACCTAAATATAAATATTATAGTATTATACTATCAGATATGTATTTTTTTATTAAAAATAAGAGTTTCAAATCCAATAACTGAAATACAACATTTTCATAGACAATCTCAATAAGTA